TAAATGTGCGCAATGCTTGCCTCAAGCATGTCATGGACCAATATTTATATAGACTCAATTGCGCTGACAGCGCCTTAGGTATTTGAAGCTGTCTCATCCGCCACATGAGTGCATCCATGCTGTGGCCCATGGGTCAGGTAGCTCCAGCTTTTGACCCCTCCAAACCTTTCGAGAAATACTCGATCAGGTAAACAAAATGGCTGCAGACTGAATGTTTCAAGAGGTTTGATTTTAAGCTCGACTCCTTAAAAAGAAATCACATCTTCATCTCCAAACATCTCGAAAAAAATTTGCTTGTCACCCAAGTCCGTAATGTAGGAAACAGGTCAGTTGGACGGGGCTGTTTGGACTTCAGAATGCTAGTACGCACCTTCCAAAGGTTGCCCTTTAGGCTTTGGCCTTTGGGCGGCATCCATCACTCAAGGCCTTGGAATGGTGATCCATCATCAAATCGCAAGTTTATCAAGCAAAGGGCTCTCAACTTCAACACAGACCGTGTGTCTTTTATTCACCCACATATATTTGAAGTTTGCAGAGTGCTCGATTTTCTGTCTATAGCACAGGCACATGCAAAGAAGCAATTGTGCACCTGCGCCAGCCACACAAAATGGTATACCCCATCACAGAGTTTGTAGTTGAAACTCCGTGCTCAAATGCTGGAAGTGCGCTCTCAAGTGGTTCTTTTGACCCCTGGAGTGTCCAACACTACAAACTATATAGACGACTTGAAAAACACGGGTAGACATCACAGTGAAAACAATCTGTCGATAGAGAGGCAAGTATATACCAAAGCTTTGAACCACAGCATGGTTGCCACACATTCCAGGTCTTTGCACACAGCCATAGCCATGAAAGACATGTCTGCTGCACGTCGTGTCCCCCCAACCAAAGCGTCTTTTGTACATACAAGAGTGTTGTTACCTGACATCTTGCACAGCAAAGACACGCTAACATCTAAAGCGCTGGCCGTGCTCTACAAATGTTTCTATGTACCGACTCAACGGGACTGGAGAATGCGCAAGGCCTCCCAACCGCTAGTCCTGATCTCCTCAGACTTGTCCATGATCTCGGTATAGCACGTGTCCACAAAGTCCCCAATGTCAGCGTAGGTGTCATCATGAAGCTGCTCATCAAACCACAACGCCTCCAGTAAAAAGTCATCGAATTATTATAGTAAATACCACGATCGAGAAACGTACATATTTGATTGCACCAACCATGGTGATCAATATCAATTAATAAGCCAAGGGACAAGTTGCTCTGCTGACTTGGTGGCCACAAGAAGGTTCTGCTTCGCGGTAGCATCGGGCGAGTTGTAAGCAATGGTCACAACATCCTTCTTGAGCGCTCGGGAAGTCAGGCCACATGAACATCTGGGCCAGTAGATGTTGTACCTTATATGGACAGAGTTCTGCAAGTGATGCTTGGCCAAGGACTTGAACTCAAGCGTGCAAGGCGAGGTCATCTCCAACTTGACGTTGTCGTAGTAGTCAACAAGCCGCTGGACCATATCAGCATCAACACCCTCCGTGCCATTGGAAGGCCTGGCCGGTGGTGAAGCCTTTCGCTTTGCGTTAGCTGCCTGGCCAGTTGATGCCCTGCCCTTTGCTTTGGCTTTGGCCTTGGTTGTGGCCAAGGCTTTGGCCTTGGCCTTGGCCTTGGCCTTGGGCATGCCTTTGCCCTTTGACTTCGCTCTTGAGTCTGCTGGGGACTCTGCAGCGACATTGGACTTGGCCCTCTTGGGCTTGGCACTTTCCTTGGCTTTGGGAGCTTTGCGAGTCTTCCCTGAAGAGCCACGGGCGCCCGGTTCAACTTCCTCAGCACCCTGGGACTTCTTGGACGCACTGCGGGAAGCCTTCAACACGGACCTCTTGCGGCTCTTCATGGGAGAAGGAGCCTTCTTGGAACGTTTCCTCTGCCCCTTCTTTCCCTTCTTCTTTCCCTTCTTGCACTTTCCCTTGCCGCGTGTGTCCTTCCGATTCTTCTTGAAGCAAAGCTGGTCATCGCGGCTGACAAAGGTGACACTGCCCATGGGTTCTTCACGGATATCGGCCTCCTGAGGGAAGAGCACACAAGAAACCAAAGTTTGTCTTACAACGCTGCTGTCGAACACAAAACAACAAGCAAACAAATCCACCATTCCGAACCTTGTTGTCCAAAGGTGGAACAGGACCAGTAGATCCAGGAACTGTGCCAGATTCGGAGGTCTCCTGAATCTCGAGAGGCTTGTTCTGATACTGCTGCCTCCTCACGTCAGCCGGTACTTCCGGAGAAGTTCTCTCTGGTGTGGGCACCAGCTGTGGCGAAATTGCCATGATGTCGACCGGCTGTGTCTCCACGTTTGAACCCACAGCTTTTGCAGAAGGGATTGAGCCTGCACACGATGAACTATATATAGTCAATTTGGATATATAGACATCATGCCACTATTCGAATGACCCCAGGCATGTTATACTGTTCAATGCAGATGTTCTTCAACATCGATCACGATCAGTGCCTGCGCTCTCAGGGGCGAGTCCCAACTTGGTGGCCAAATCGTCCAGAATTTGGTGCTCTCTCTGAGGCACTGAGGGCTTCCCTGAAGCACTTGCCTCAATTGCCAATCGTTTTTCGCGAAGCCTTGGTGGCAGGTATATATATAGACAAACTTACAATTCCTGGAAATTTAACAGAAGCAAATCCCAAAAGTCATGAATTGAAAAAGACCGCAAAAAACTCAGGTCTTGTCTTCTGCAAACGTAGTTGGGCTTCAGCAATCCTCGTCTTCACATCGGATTCGCTGCCTGGATTTTCACAACAACTGCCAACAAGGCAAACAGCACGAAACCAACAGAAATTCAGCAAGCTATACAAAACATCACACATGATGCATATGCCATCACGTGCCGACCAGGCTGCAAACAACCGTGGATGTCTGCTTTTCAGAGGGCTTCGGGTCACCCGACTCTGACACCGCAGGCCCATTCTGCACAGGCGCGGGCTCTGGCACAAAAATGGGTTGACTCCCAGGATGAGGAGGGGAAGCCGCACGGGGACGCGCAGGTTCTGGAGTTTTTGGCGGAGGTTGAAGCAGGTCTTCAACGTCAGACTCTCCTCCATAATCATCAACAGCCCTGACGTCATACTCATCCTCATCAGCATCTAGGTCTTCCAATGCCTGCCCAGTTCTTTGCAACAAATGTATCGACACGGTATAATTACACCCCATGCAAAAAGATACTTACCCCAAACGGTCAACTTATATATAAATATATACAAGTCTATATGCCCAGGCCTGTGATGACGCAGAAGCCTTCCGGGATTCGACCTTTTCGTTGATCTGTTTGACCAAGTCCTGGAAATGTGGAGGGACAAATATAGTGCAAAACCAAACTTATATATATATATACATGGCGATCAATTGGAGAAAGCAGGTTAAGCGATTCACTCCTGAAGTTCTGGAGCAAGCACCAAGATCATTCTTTGGAAAGTGCGGTCCTCAAATTGTTAATTGAATTGGGAACTTGCAAACCTGAAGGGAATGATTCACAAAGGTTGTGGTCACATGATTGCTGTGTCTTTATTCAATTCTTATAACCGAGTATCTATTGAGGGCTCGCAACGTCTGATCTTCAGCTTGATCAGAGCAAGATGTTTGCGAATGAACCAGCCGTCTGCAATGATGGTCGTTGCTTGCACCTCAAGTTTGTTCATGTCGTACACTTTCGTAATCTCGTCCCTGAGTGAGTGCACGTCTGGGAGCTTTTGAGTGGGAGACTCTTTCATCCTGTGGAGCAAGGGAGTCAAAAGAGCCTCGTTCTGAGCAGTTGTTGCCACATTGATAACCTCATTGCCTACACGAAGTTTGCCATCGTTTCGAAGGCATGAACGAAGAGCCTCATTTCCATCCCAATCCTTGCTGATCCCTGTGGCCTCCACCCGATCCCGAACAGCTGTACTCATGCCAGCTGCTGAAAAAGAGCACAAAAAGTTCCCACAGATTTGAGCCAAGCACTGTCTTCCACTATAAAAAATGTTGAGTGCAAGGACACAACTGAAGAACATGTGCACTTTATATAGATCTCAAATTGAACTGCCGCAGATTATCCACTTCACATCTTCCAATGTCTCGATCCGTTCTGACCACTCAGGCGTGGGCTCAGGTGATCACAGGTTGTGCTCCGGACTATATAGTGTGACTTCACACTTCAGCACGATCTCTTCAGGTGATACACTAATATGTTGGCTAAACGATATACATGTAACAGGTTGTGCGGAAAGCATGTTGTCTCTTGTTTGTCCTCTTTGACTGTCTATGCTACGCGGATGTATATGTTTTGTCAAACGTCATTCAACAGCTATATATGAGGTGCTCTTTATAGTGTTCATACCTCCAAAAATCTTGAGAGCGGCAACACAATCTCTCAAAATCAAGCTGGGCAATCACCTGGCTGGTGGAAGAGAAGAAAACCAAGTTTTTTTCAAGGAAACCGGGTTTTTGGCTGGAAGGCTTCTCAGAACCGGGTTTTGAGATTGTAACCTACTTATTTTTAGGTTGTGGGTTCCCAAGGTAGGAGTGGGGGGGGGGAGGACGGGACCGGCCATGTGAAGAGGATGAGGCAGAGGCAGAGGATGGCATGAACATGAAGTTTTGTGGGCATCATTGGACCCTGGGAATTGACATTGTGGTGGTTTAGACCATGTTCCTCGAACAAAAACCCAGTGGTTTTGAGGTTCCATGTCGACCCCTGCAGGGTCATCCAGACCGCCTGTCATCCCCCTTTGTGACCTTTTGAGAATGGAAGCCGACGGACTTCAGTCTCACTAGACCTCATTCGCTATATAGCATATATTCCTATAGTAACTATGGTGGAGGCCATTCGCTATTAGGTTGGAGGCCATTCGCTAGAGTAACAATCAAGCTGTCTAGAGACGTCGACGACCGTCTGCCAGTATGCTACGAACTCAGACGACGACAGAGACGGTACGAACTCAGAGGTCCAGGTCTGGTTCGGCCACAGGTTTACATTGCCTTCTGCCTCTTCGCGGTGCTTGGGCCAACGATCGGCCCGCGATTCTCGTGGCCATCGGCCCTGGGCGAGACGCCATGGGGGGGAAAGCTTCCTTCAATGGCGCAGAGTCTCGGGACTGGAAGTTCGTCACCCAGGGAAGAAGAAAAGCATTTTGCTATACCATCCTCACTGGCCATGGCCAGATCTCCTTGAGTCGAGGGTTGCGAAGGGCCCTAAGAGGTCTCAAACGGTGACCTGTTTGAGGATGCTGTTACCTCTTAAACTTATATTTGTTTTGGTGCTTGGTGCCTTTTAAACTTGACACTCCTTGATTTGGTTGGATGATCTGGGTGCAGCACTGCAAATTTGAGTGATTCCATGGCTCAATTAGCTAGCACAGAGGAAGATATATACTTGCATGGAAGCAAAAGGATCCCACAGAGGAGGACGGCTCAAGATTCAGAGATTTGTGCAGGACATGAAACCAGGCACCTCCAAATGACAGGTCTTTGGTTGGCATTTGAGAATACTTGAATCAAGTATAGCCTGTGGTTCAGCCCCATCCGCTGTGGTCTGGGTTCATGGCTGGGCCTTGATCAGATTCTGGAGAGTGACTCGACGACGCCGACCGACCGAGCTACATCCCCCAGACACTTCCCCTGGTTCAAAGACCCCGATGGATGTAACCCGGAACCCCGACAGACCGTTCGTACCTTAGAAGATGGGACATGGATGGACATGGCTTCACCCCAAGTTCAGCAGCTACGACGTCGTCGACTGATCGACTCCAGGTACTTAGATACCTGGAGTCCACTCCAGGTATCTAAGATGCCAGTCTATAGCCAGTCTATTCGCCGCATCCATGTGGGATTCCGAACCGGATCCACCAGTACCGGTTCGGTCGAAAAAACGACTCGGAGCTCCTGGATCCGGTTCGGTTCCTGGCACCGTTGAGCCTTGTCCCATGGTGGATCCCTCGCGGTGAAGGCCGAGAGGACATCCGAAGACTGGGGCGAAGCGGCGAAGCCGAGCACACCCGGTAGACAGGGCCTTTTTGGGGGGGAGCTCCGGATGCTCCGATCTGGGAGAGGAGCCCAAAGGGGATAGTAGAGAAGGACCATGATGATTTCATGTGATTTCCCAGCACTTGTAGCTCCGGATGCTCCGATCCATGCACGGTGAAACTGCATGACTGCATGAACATGTTGCAAGTATGACGCTCCGTCACCAGCGCTCTTGCCCTGCTTTCAGGTGCTGAATGTGGCCTGGCTTTGTTTAAGATGTTTTTCTTTGCTCTTTCACCTTGGACTCTTCAAGGGATGAGTCTTTTTTCCAACCAAAACACTTGGTGTGGACTTGGAACCTGAGTGACCTCTATGTTGCACCACCAACCTCCAAAGATATGGTCCAACGGTCCAACGTATGCCTACATTCACCCCTTTTCAACCACCCCTCAATGTTTGGCATCTGAGTACCATGGAGCTTTCTGCTAATATGTTGCACCGAGGTGATGACCGGGGTGTACTTTGGACAGCACTGAGATGGGACCAGTAGCCGCGATGGGGAAGATAGACTTGGGATGGAGTACAGGAAGTGTAGGAAGATGACCGCCTATAGATGTTGATAGGGTTCAAAAGGCTTGACAAGGTGGGACTGGGCAGCGGGGGGGTTGTCCCTACTTTCTGAGATGGGACACGGGAATTGGAACTCAGAGGCTGTTGGACCGATGCTCCTGGACCTTCACATGGAGGGATTGGTCCGGGTCTGGGGTCGAACCACCCCCCGGGCAAGGGCTGTGAACGGAGCGTTTGGGTGGTTGCCTGAAGTAAGGCTGGCCTTTGGGAAAGTCCAGGTTCCGGCACGGTCTGTGGCACGGTCTGTGGCACGGTTGCGCTCTCATCGTTCCCCTGTGGATCCTTGTGTGAGGATCCAGGCACCCTTCTCAGAATGCAGTTGGACGCTCCAAACCGACTTCTCTCAGGGTATGCGAACCTGTAGGAACTGATTGGCCACATGTGCCCCCGTGAGTTGGAGACTATTGTGAAGACATGTCGTTGTACAACCCTGTAAAATGTTATCAGCACAGTGCTGGCACCTGGGACTACAGTGCTGGCACCTGGGACTACAGTGCTGGCACCTGGGACTCAGCGACTGTCTTGTGGCTGTAGCCAATTCAAGTGGCTTTATACCATACATTCCTGAAATCATCGTGGAAGTGGCCCCTTGGATGACAATGTTCATCCATTTTCCAAATGCCTTAAACAGGTGGTGTTCCACCTCCATGACAAACAAAAGTGCAATATATTCATGGCTGAATTTTCTTTTATGTTTGGTCTACTTGGCTTCGACGTGAGACCACCGAGGGAAGTTCACACCTTTTTCCCTCAGTCTCCTTAGTTGTCTCATGTTGTCTCCTCCAAGACCCTCCTGTCGGGGCGTCTAAATATTGCCCCCCAAAAGCTGTTAAGGGGTGTCCATTAACCACCCCGACTGGGGTGTCCTGGCTTATGTCCTCCGTTCCAGTGCTCTTTGGTCGCTTCCTGCAACCGAAGCCCATTGTTTGGCCCCCCCCCCAAAACGGCGTATAATACGTTTGTATGAAAGCTTCCAAAAACTCCATCACCTCATATATCACCTCTCTCATCGTGTTGTTCTGGACCTTTCGTTCCTTCGTTCCGGGGTGGCCCTGAAAGCAGGTTGATCGCGGGGGCGGCCCTGAGGGATCTGGAAGAAGCTCCCAAGAACAACTGAGCAGCTTCAAAAACCTCTATGATGAAAAGTGTGCAAACTGTAATCTCACATTCTTTCGCGAAAGCCAAAACGCAGGTCGCGAAAGGTTCGCGAAAGCCCCGCGAAAGAACCCCAGAAGAACAGCGTCGCGAAAGCTTTCGCGAAAGTCGAATTTCTTGTGCATGTCGTGTTGTTTATGTGGGTGACCATATTTTTATGCAGGCAGCCGCAGCAGGCCAGCCAGCCAGCCAGCCGCAGCAGACCAGCCAGCAGCAGCAGCAGCACTGAAGAGCAAGTGTTTCAGGGGAAAATCGAAAAGCCCAGACGAATTTGCGCGAAAGCCGCGCGAAAGCCTCGCGAAAGAACCGCGAAAGTCGAAAATATCCGGGAAAGGTATCTGGCCCCAGCAAAAAGTTTCAGCAAGTTTTCCTCCTCTTCTGATGACAACAATAATACTTGAACGGTGCTGCTACAACTCCTTGTGCCAGGATGTTGCCGGAAAGAAATTTGTTCAGTTTTGACATATCGGATAACTTATATAGATCAATCACTTTATTGTACAATATCCCAATCGAATTTCCCAATCGAAAAAGAATCGCCGCGAAAGCCGCCGCGAAAGCCCCACATAACACCACACCTTCCGCGAAAGCCAGAATGCAGGCCGCGAAAGCTCCGCGAAAGCTTTGCGAAAGCAAACCTGGATTATACAAAAAAGTAATAGGGGTTTTCGAAGCTGCTCAACTGTTCTGCTCTTGCCAGGTGCCAATCCCAGACACGACCCATGCGACTGCCATAGGACTGCCGATCAATTGACCTTGCTGGCACCACCCCAATGTAGGCCAATATGGCAGTCCCATGGGTCGTGTCTGGGAGTGTTTGTCTTCCTTAGTGAATTACCACTCAGACTTGGCTTCGCCTGAGGTTCTGCCAGTCGGCCATCGAAAGTGCCGAGCGCGATCACGAGCTGATTCTGCAGAACGTGGCACATGACCGTCTCAGCGACGTTGTGCGAACGGGGCGAGGCAACCGTGGTGAGAAGACTCAGGTTGAAGAACCCTAGTTCGACTATCCCAGTTGGGTACCCCAGGTGACAGGTCCTGGTTCAGGTCATTTAACCTCTCTTGGGTGAGAAGACTCAGACTGACTCAGACTCGAATCTCACGACATGGTGAGACGTGACCAGGTCGACGTGACGACAAACGGCAGAGATCCTACTAAGCATTAGTCACCAGTCATGCCTACAGATTTACACTATTGAATGTATAGTACATCTCAGTGTGATGCAGGACTTTTGTCAGGCAATCTGAACACCGCTGCTGCCTGCTTCACTGCCTGGGTTTGCTTCGGTGATGTTGTTGTTTGCTCTCGCTAAGATGGAGACCGTGTGTTTTCTTCTCAGAAGCTTGGCATCTTCCTTGGATACAGCGGTGTTATTAGCTAGAGAATGTGACGGTCACTAACATCAGAAGCCACCCAGAAGTGATTTAGACCGAAGCAGAACCTCCAGTTGAAGCCCATTCAGGAGAAGGCTAAGTACTTCCGTGCGGTGCGGCGGCTCTTCAACCAGCTCGACCGCAACGGAGATGGAGGAGCTGAAAGTAACCACACAACCGATAAACCGCATGGTGGATCAAGTTGAACGTACCATGCCGGATGCCCGGACAGTCCCATGCCCACCCTTGAGTCGTTAGCACGTTTGAATGAACGTCCACTGAAAGAAAGATGCACACTCCATGCTGATAGTATGCTGGAATCATCATGAAAGTGGAAAACCACTGGAGACCCCCAACCTTTGGATTTGGGCTGATTTGGGTATTTGTCCATTCTTCCAGGGGGTCTTTGGGAGATCTCCCTAATTTGCTTCCTCGCTTCGAGGTGCAATGAATTTCAATTGCCATCATTAGTCGACAGTCACAGCGGATGATAGTGCCATAATGAGGCCAGGCAGATATGCCTGATTGGAGAAAAAACAATAGAATGCTGCACAAGATCCCTACCCCCCTTAAGCTACTGCCGGGAGGGGGGACCTCACAAAAGTAAGTTACATTTTAGGGTACCCCCCTAGGGGGTCAAAAAATGTAAGTTACCCTCCCCCCAGGCACCATCGAAACGGGCAACGGGGGGGGGGCAAAAAAAAATAACTTGTTGCCTGGGACGTTTTTACCACCCCCCTACTGGGGGTCGGCAGATCGAAGTGGGGGGGGGTCTGGAAAATGTAACTTGCGACCTGGGATGCCTGAACTTAAATTGTTTTACCCCCCCCCTAGGGTGCGTTGGCAGATCGAAGATACGCCAATCACTAAGAAATGTTTGCCTTCTGCAGCAACAAGCCACACAAAAACAAAAAATGAGGGAACAGCAGTGGGTCTGAGTCATCATCAACAAAGAAGAACAGGAAACACACCCAGAGCAAACTGCCAAGAAGCAGGAACATATACTACCCTCTGGTGAGTAAGGATTTGTGCATCTGATGAGTGTGTATTGTGGGCACAGGAACTCCTAACGCATGTGTCTGCAGACAGGTGGATGTCCAAGGCCAGTTCTTCCAATTCAACTGCGACTTGGACCTTGGCCCAGAAAGGGATGGCGCCATCCGTCAACGCGGTCGAGACGAGAGTCTCGACCCACAAGACGGCGATCGACTAAGAGACCGAAGTGACTTAATGGTGTGCGGACAGAAATGGATCACAGAAGAGCACTGACCCGAACTCGGCCTCCAGTCGCACCGAACCTGAGAAGGAGGTGGGACGGCCCGGGTGCCCTGGTCGGGTCTAGTTATACCGAACCTGAAGAGGTACTTGGAGGTGTAGGGTGATATCTTCTGTTTAAAAACCGTTCGGGGTCCCCCCCCCTTTTTTCAGCCTCTGAAATTATGAATTGTGAGTCTTCTGGAGATTGCAGCATGTAAGTTATACAAAATTGCAAAAAAAGGTATGACTCCGCACCACTCCCATCCCTCCAGTCTTCCCACTCTCCATCCGTCCAGTCTTCGCCAGGAGTGTCCATCAAAGAGTTCAAGCAAGCCATGAAGGACCCCTCGCTCCATGCCATCTTTGACGCACTCGAGATCAGTGCAGGCGCAGAAGCGCGCGGCGCTTACGCCGGTCGCGCGCTGGTTTCGGTTGGGGCGGTATTTTTTGGGAGACATGACATGTTGGTTTGCCTATGGTCCTAGTAGGTGCATGGGAGGTCAGCTGAAGTACAGAAAACAAGGGACGCCTGAGACCAGCCCATCGTGACCAAAACCCATCACAAAGATCTGCCAATGCCTTCTACAGGTCCTAGAAGATCGACACCTGTTTTTTGTTTGATAGCTGGCAACTTGTATGTTTGACTGGCAGCGACAATAAGGCATTGATCCTGCTATTGGTTACCAAATATAGATAGACATGTTCTTTTGATTTGTTTTGTACTTTAGGAGATAAGCTGTTTGGTTCCAAGTCACATGTGCTTGATGTATATATATATATATATGTAACCTGTCATTGCACTGTGTTCCTTTGAAAGCAATCAACCCCATATCCATGCAGGAGTTTGGAACTGCAGTTCGAGCCACCCTTGCTGGAAGGCCTTTTTCCTAATGCAGAGTGTTGTTCATCAATGTTTCACCTACTATAAGCCCTACCGGTGTACAAGACACAACCTGGGAGAATGTAGAGATGGTAGATCCAGTGGACGTTCGGATTTCTAGTGGATCATTTCGTGTGCAGGTCGACTGAAGTCGACTTGGGGTGCCTCCAAGTCAGAAACAGTACATGTAGATGGGATGTCGGTTTTGTACTCAGCTGAATTGTGCACGTCGAACCCCAGTGAACTCAGTTCCACCGCCCCCCTTGGGACGTTGGACGATCGGATCAGCGTGATCACCGACCAGCTCAGGTGATGCATGGGCTCTCTTTACCCAGTTGGATCGTGCCTGGGGCCGTTGAGGTGGTTCTTTTGCCATGCGCTAAAATGGACCTCGCTCTTTCGGGTGATGGGTCTGATGTGGTCAGGGGTTTCTATGCATCACGTCAAGGAGAAAGACCCACTGCCGACATGTAGCTAAGCTTCTAAGCTTCTTTTGCCCAATGCTTGTGGAAACCTGTTCTCTAAGCTTTCCAAATGATACCCGCTTTCCTGTCTCAATTTATATAAATACGTCATACGTGCGAGGTGAATTGCTTTCCAAGTGTTTCTTTCCGACTGTGACATGTTTTCAACCACTGAATTGAATGCGAGATGTGAATTTTGGGCAAGCAGTTTGTTTAACAGAAAACCTCAATCTTACAAATCTGTTGGACAACTGAATCCCTTTGACTCCGGTGTCAAAACTATGTCAAAACGATTTTCATGTTGTGTCGACTTTCAGCAGTTCAAGAAGATCCTCCAAAAAGCCTTCACAGTAATAGCAACGTTGATCCACACCCACACGCACACACACACAAACACGCACACTTCATCTATACCCAGACACTCCATGGGACTGCTATATTTGCCTAGGTCAATTGATCGGCATATATGGCAATCCCACTTGTCGTGTCTGGGATATACCTTATATTTGACCGACCAAGCTCGCACCGGATCCCCCACCTTCGTCGTCCCACCAGCTCGCCCAGGCGATGGAGATGCGGAGGTGAATGTGGACGAATTCCTCGAGGGCTGCATGTTGTTGAAGGGGCACCTTGCCCTTTGTTGGATTCGGTTGGAAGCCATATAGCTCTTAGGTTGGAGGATGTTGGAGGCCATCGCTGAGTAGGTTGGAGGCCACCCTCGGTCACACGGAGGCTCTTCCGGGTTCTTAGGTTCCTAGACCCGGTGTGTGGTGGGACAGTCTGGTCCAACGACACGAGGGTCTTACAGCGTTCGCTGTCATGGTGTTCAACACGACATGGTGTTCAACACACACGACCGGCGTGTGGTGAATCGCGCGGAGCCGGATCATCAGGTGTCTTTGGTCCTTTTGGTGTTCCCCAAGAGCCACATTTGTCCGCATGAGACAAGTGACCGTTGGCAGCACCCTGTTGAAAGGTGTAAGAGACCTTCCACAACATGGATGAGACCCCAACAACTGATTGATCTCTGAGTCGGGCATTTTGGAATAGAAAGGTCAAGCTGGAATCCAAAGTGTCTCCTTGAACTTTCTTGGTTGTTTAGGGAGTGCGCTACATACTGTAAGCCAAAACCCAGAAACTGGATAATGATTGGATATGATTGGATGGCAAACACATGGGATCCACGGGCATTGCACCTAAATCTCTCAGCCATGCGGCCTTCACGCTTGACTGGAGTTTCTTCCCGAACTATTCATAGAGGACAGCACAATACTCCGATGCCAGGTCTTAAGTATATAGTGTATATATACTGTACATACCTGGATCTTCCAACTGCACACAATGTCTGCCTTGTCATCCATAAAACCAACCCAAAGGACAGACATTTTGCATAGTTGGAAGATTCAGACATATATATATATATATATATGTTTGTATCGAGGTCAGTCTGTGGCCCATGCGAGGTCACCTCGCCCGTCCTCGCCCTTAGGCCAGCGAGGTCCATCGATGTGATCGGCATCAAGAGAGACCTCATGAGACTTCAAGACAGGCCAGGTGTTGGCAGCAGTGTCCTTCGCGTTTTTTTGGGGTTGCGGTTGTTTTGGCGACTGGTGGCAAATTTGGGGGTCAACCCATGGCCTAGCTGGGCTGGTGAACAAGCTGGAAGATGATTGCAACTCGAACCTTGAGCTCGGGTGTGGTTTTCACAAGATCTAGAGTTGGTGTGTTGTCGGGATTCCCTGCTTGTCGGATCCAATCTTCAGCCGATCATGCCTGGTGACTGTCCTGAGATGAGAAGGTAGTGTCATGTAGTGTCAAAGCCCCCACCGCCCACCCCAACCACCCAACCCTGTCTATCAGTGTTCTATCAGGGATACCATTTGGTGCCCATGGAACGCCATGGAAGACAGGGCCCACATGTTCCTTCTCCCTAGCCTTCAAAGACCATCAAAAGAGTTCGGTTGATCGAGTTTTGTAGTCAAACATCCTTAGTGAAGCAATGGTCGTTTAGGATTTAGGATTCAGACCATTAAAACATCATCATCGTTAAACATGTTTGATTCCCCGAGTCGGGGAGAAGGGATTTCAGGTCATTTCCACCTCACGTCACCCTCCACATGTTGGCCCTCCATGACCGGTCGGACCGTGACGACGAAGATCCGACGTCGATGATGAAGATCCGATGGGACGAAAGAGCACAGTGATCGACTTGGAACCCCAACGAGCCCATCACCGGCTCCAGTCGTACCGAACCTAAGGTTTGGTGGGACTAAGGTGGGTGCCAGGAGGGTCCAGTCATACCGAACCTGAGGAAGTACGACTGGAGCCCTAGGGTCATGGGTGGCGCATTGGCCAACATGACTGGTGGTTTTGGGTGGTGAGCGGCTCGGCCGATGATCATGTCACATATTTGCGCCATGGATCTTGTGCGGAGTCGCCACCCCAGTAAACTACCGTTTCACAGTCAGAACCCTTCTGAAGTCCTGAAGTCCTTCAACGATCGTGGCCCATGACCTCGGAGTCTCACGGTCTAGAGTCCTCCCAATACCCAGACACGACCCATGGGACTGCCATATATGCCGATCAGTTGGGGTGGTTTTGTGGGTCAATGTAGGTATATATGGCAGTCCCATGGAGTGTATGGGATATGGAACCTCCGGCCTGGATTGGTCCACGGTCCACGCCCCACGCCCGCTGGGGGGGCGCTCCTTTAACCGGCCAGGATGGATACCTATGTCAACGACGTGAGCGACGTGAAGCGCATCGTGAGCCGACCCCTGAAGATCTCCACACGGTCCTCCTGACACCCGAGGGCTGCGGCGGATCGGGTCGGGTCCGGACGAGCCTCCGGACGATGGACCGGCGGTGGAGGTGGTGGGAGGAGAAACGTCGACGTCACCGGCGAAATGGTCCGATGAGTCACGGCTGAGACCGACGTGGCTTTAGACTGTGGCAGGTGGTGAATGGTGGTGACCTGCCAGTTGTGGGGTGCAGTGCTAGTACGGCATACGGTATAGAGAAGGAATATGAAGGAATCATGAGTAATGATTGACTCCTGGACCTGAATCATCTCGAGGGATCGGACCCGAATCCTCTGGAGGGGTTTGGGTTTTCAAATCCCTACTATATCCAACAGTGGGTGCTGGGCCAGGAGGGTTTAACGCCCGAGGAACCCTTGTGGGACAGGAGGCCAAACGGGCAAGTGGGGTGGCAAATGAGTTCGATTGGCCAAGAAAGACCCAGAAACACCGAGTGAAACCAAGGATAAGCCTGGTCCGGGTCTACCAGCAGCCTCCTGACCCTGCAAATCCACATACCCTCTCAGAAGGTACTTGGATCTCCGTGCCCATGCCTATGTAAAAGATGTAAAAGTGTCTCCAGTCATCTTCTCCATAGGGATGGGTGGCCTCCTTTCAGCACCGCGTCAAGTCTACTGACTACTGATTCCCCACCTTGTTCTTTCAGACGTTGGAACCGGATTGGCCGCACCGGATGGTGTCCGACCGTCGATGCTGAGAAATCGCAGAATGGTTTCACTCCGAAGTCGCTTTCACCAAAGGTGACAGCCCAATCGGCCAGACTCACGACCGATGGATATTTGGGGCACACAAGATCGCTGACACGGCAAAGCTTGGAGATTTTGACTTCATGCCAGAGATGTTCTTGTCTATGGTTGTCCCACCTTCACAAATCATAATGTGACTATATTGGGACCAAAGATTCTCGCGTGCAGGTGAAGTGTAGTGGAGATCCTATGCTTGGAGCGTTTTCAGGATTTCGTTCTGGGACGTCACCCAGTCCCTTGTGTTTGGCAGCCAACGTGGAGTACATGCGAGTATAGATTGAAAGGATGTTTTCATTCACAAACAGATGATAGACGATAGATGCCTACTGGCACACGGGTTCTGCTGTGAGTTCTGGCCAGATTGATCGACCCCAATAGGGGGACCCTATGGGGTAATGTCTTATGTCCTTCATGGGTGTCCTTCAGTTTGTGGCTTTCAACCGGAGACATGCCGCCTGTTGCCCCCTGCCACTTTCGAGCCGGAGGCCGTGGACTTCAGGTTTCAGGCAGAACTCCTCTTCAGAAGTAACACCAAACCTGGAGAACAGTTCGAAGAAAGGCAACTAAGAAAGGGAGAACAGTTCGGATGTGGCATTGCACCTTCTTCAAGTTCCTCCAAGTAGATGTGACGCCCCCAAAACCCAGAACTTTGGGTCCAGATGTCCATTCACAAGTAAATTCAAAGGATGCCATAGCTCCACGAACGGTGGCAAACCTGCAATAGATGGTGCGGGGTTGAACATCTCTGCGCTACCCAACAAAAGGTACCATCAGGTGTAACTAGCTCGAAAATGCGAAAGGACACCCAGGGGCGCAGTTTTCGCCTGGCTTCTTTTGAAGCAGGGTCAGTGGATTTCGCTGCCCTGAGACCCGAAGTGCTTCGGTTGAACCGCTTTCCCCATGAAAGGCGGGTGGTTTCTCGGAATGGTCAGAACCCTCAGATGAATACCGGATTCCATTCAACATGTTCTAGGGCATGACTCTGAAAGTGGCAAGTAGTACCATTTATACACTATATATATAATTAATGGTTTTGTATAATAAGTATTTGGAATCCAGTGCGGGTATCACCGCAGGTATGTAGTACCTACATACCTACCTCGAGATTTAAACTGTTTTCTTTCGACCCCCACCCCCATTCTTAGAAACATCTCGTTGATGTTTGTCATGCCTTGATTGAAAAGCGGTTACCGGTTGGTTCACGGTTGGAGCCTTCGTTCCCAGCTCCGTGTGGTCGGTTTTGTGTTCTATTCTTCGTTTGGCGTGATGTTCAGCTTCTGAGTTGTTCAACAGACAAGTCGTGTATCTAGAAGGCGAAGAGCAACTGAACAGCAGGAACTGAGTCCAGAAACATGACAGATACTGGGACAAATGCTAATTCAGAACAGAAAGGGCTTATAGAGAGCCTATAGTGAGATAAGTGGGTGCCCAGACAATGAACTCAGTTGTGACCAGGAAGAGTTTGTTGATAGCGGAGGAGTTGAAGGAAAGCCTTAAATTAGGACATTGAGTGGGTATATAAGTGGGAAGAGCTGAATAAGAGAGGGAGTTTCTCTTGCATTTTGGCTATCTTGTTAATTCTAGTTTTGTTTTTTTTCTAAATATTATTGCTGTTTCCTTTACTTGATTCTTAGTAAATATTAAATTGATTTGCAGAGGCTGAAAAGAGCTAGGCAGCAACAGAACAATCTGTATATATACATACTGAAACAATAGACCTTAGAGAACTTGCGAAGAACAGATAGTCCATTCTGAAAGCAGGAAGAACCAAATGAAGGATTGTGTAAATCAATGTACCACAGGAAGCACTGAATACTTACACGAATAGGCGCCGACCAGCAACTGAAAGCAGCTAGTCAATAGAGGAACTAATTAAGCAGGGGAGCAAGAAGTTGAAGGTTGACAGATGTTGAACAGAGATCAACCACTTTATTTCTTGGATACGGCTTGAAACAACTGTCAAGCAGAAAGAGCTAAATGGTTAGTTAACTGGAACATATTTGATCATCTGCAGGAAGAGCCAAGCACTACTCACTACTGGGACCAACTAGGAAACATTGAAAAAGAACACCTAATGTCCGAAATGAAGTTAGCAGTATATTGCCAGACTGCAGCTTGCGACCGGGCCAGCTAGCTCTTGTCCATTTGGATGCGCAATGAGTTCTGCAAACACTTAGTTACTGTTTTCTTTCATACATTCTCCTTATTCTCAAGGATTTTCTTGCTGAAATGACATGGAAAACCAGCGTTTTCTTCCAGTTCAGTGAACCGATGGCGCTTCGACCCCGCCGTTTGTGTTCGCGGCCGCCTGAGGTCTATGGAACAAAAGTTGAAGGGGCTAAGCATAGCGTTTGACGTATCCGGTGTACCCATCCGCTTTCCAGGCATTTGTGATGAATCCAACAACAAAAACGATGCAGATAGGTTTTGAAGGCTTCCAAAGAGCAGACAAATTCGGCCTTTCAACACTGTAATCTAGCCTGTTTGAGGACAGTCGGCGGCCACTTTGTGGATCTCACCTGTGAGGTTTTGGGCTGATCCTTGCTGTGTACCTTAAACATACCCAGTCAGTGGATACCCTTTAACCTTTTCTGGGGAGTGGTTCCCCCACTAAACGAGCGAAACTGAATTCGAAGGAGTCAGTAAAAGAACTGAAAAGTGATCTACAATCATACAGTATCTGGGCATCTGGCATGGGTCTTTAGCCCGACCAGCTCCACCATGGGGCCGCGGTCGACCGACACCGGTCGGTACGTTTGTCCCGGCTGGTACCAGGACCCACAGCCATCTCCTGCGTCGAGCTGAACCCGGGACGTACGATCTGATCACTCCGTACGCCGTACGAAGAAACATGATATGTTCAGTCACTTAATAAGTCGTGCAGAGGGCGGGCTCCAACCATCAAACCTGGGAGGGCGAGCCAGGACCTGGGAGCCCAGAAGCTTCACCAAAGACCTTGGCAACCACTGAACCAGCGAACGCGCAGATTCCCGATCGTGTGTAATGTGGCGTACGCAGCATGGGAGCTGTGTGTTCAAAAGAGCTGACATGCAGTGGTCCCAGGTGCAGCTATTGTGTGTAGGTAGGTCACCAGGATATGTTTGCTCTCAATCTTTAGCAGTTCAGTATTTGGAACTATGGGGATTCATGTGGCTAGTATATGTTTCTGAGGCATGTGCACTATCATCTCATATAAGTGGATCTGGTTCAGGGATTCGCAGATTGAAAGTCGTCGTCGGGTCTGCAACATCTAGAGGGTCCAAAGAAAAGGCTCAGAGACTCTGATGGGACCAGTGTCTACCTGGACCCTACTTCATCGTACCTTCATCGTACCTGGATAAAAACAAACAAACAAAACACACATCTTCCCAAGAAGGTCATCGTCCCAAACAAACAAACAAACAAACACACACATCGTCCCAAGAAGGTCATCGTCCCAAACAAACAAACAAA